TGACATAACTCTTCAAAATAGATGGTGACAAATCATTCAGCTCCCTTGCCACGGCGGCTGCGGTCTGTGAAGTAAAGTCCGAGACAGTGAGATATGCTTTCATATAATTTTCCCTCTCAAGTTTTAATCTTTATAAACACGCACAGAAGCAGTAGTTATGTTTATGAATGCGCAAAATCAGTTACTTTTCGTCTAACCTCGTTATGTTTTGAGAGCAACTGAGGTAATTAATTTTGGTAATCCTCGATGAACCTTAGCTGTCATGTTAGATTCCACCCAGTGGTATTATCTCCTTAGTGGGTTGAGTTTCTGCCTGAATGAAGTTGTTGAATTTCCGATCCATTATAAAAACGGAATTCAACCACCTTCAATTCGCTTCGAGTCCTTTTAACTCTTTTTAACTCTTTTTAACTCTTTTTAACTCTTTGATTCCCTTATAATACCAATACAGTCACAAGCAGAAATGACACTTGGGGAAACCTGCCAAGCACAACTTCCGCTCAGTGATGTACTCAACATTTCTTCAATTAAGGAATTTTTAATTGTAGTTGATCCAAGACACAATCCTCCAAAATAACACCATAGTAATTTGAATTGCAATCAGTAAGGAGAATTTCGTAAGGGATCTTGAGAGTAAATTAAAAGGTCGGTCATGGGATTCCGGCTATATGTCACGGCTAAATGACTGCATTGAAGAATCTAGTGAGTGTCAGGAGGTGGACTGCAAACAACTTTAATCTTCCGCAATTAATAAAATTAATGTTACGAGTCCTTAACGTGCAAATATTATCAAGACTTGCATAGGCATGAAGGGCATGGAGAGAATAGAATAAGATAAAGTTATAATTGAATGAAATCAAAGTATAATAAAACAAAACAGAAGATTTACGAGGTGAGTGATAAGTTTTAATCTTTTGCCACAAGCCTTTATCTGTCGTCACCGAAACTTTTTCTCGGCGAAAATTCTTGCTGGTGATTAAATGCACGTGCGCTATGATCAAGATTCCCGTCACTCACTTAGTTTTAAACTTAAGGGCCCAAACAGGTCACTTGCGTTTTCTCAAACGTCAGGCGATTTTTTTTTTTTTATGTGAAAGAAGATGATCTTCAGTGAGTGACACATGGGAAAATAGTTCCGAGTGCTCCTCAATAGAAGTCGAGCCTCTAAGCGTCTCGGATATTTTACCAATGAGCCATAAATTCGCGGCTTGGCCGTTTAGTCTGGTGTATAGTGATGAACCTTATGCTCACTAATAGGATAGGAAAGTCGACATTGATGGTTTTTCACAATAATGATCTAAATGAAGATTGTATAATTTAATCCTAGCGATTTGTTTTTGTAGTTGTTTTATGTTTATTCTTGCTATTTTTGCTTCGAACTCCAGAAGTTTTGGAATTTCTCTCGTTGGTGGCTTTAAAGAAAGAGCAGTCAGGTTGTCTGACGCAGTCGAATTTTACACTCTTAGAGGCCTGAAACTTCCTATAATATTCTTTTTTTTTCGACCACGGCACGAATCGATTTTTCAACTCGATTAGTCAATCGTTTCATTGAAGAGATCCTCTTAGAGTAAGCAAATTTTAGTTCAAATTCCCTTCTGCCCTTGAAATGGCAAGTCAATGCCTTGTCAATCACAAGATGGACAACGGTAATCAGTTTTTTAGAATAATAACTTCCCTGACAAGTATCGAATATTTTTAGCTGCTTCTAAGTACAAGTTGATGGCTATGGCCTTGAAGTCACTGCTCTACTCTTTCGCTTTTGCAACGGGAACGGCGAAGCATAATTAATCCAGTTGATTTGAGGACTTTCTTTCATAATTTTTGCGAAAGAAACGGGCTTCAGGTGCTTTCTTATTATTATTATTATTAGAATCATTATTATTATCATTACTATTATTATTGTTATTAGTATTAGTATTAGTATTATTATTATTATTCCTCTTCCTCTTCTTCATCTTCTTCCTTTTTTCTTCCTCTTCCTCCTTTTCTTCTTCTTCTTCTCCTTCCTCTTCTTCCTCGTCTTCTTCTTCTCTTTTCATAGTTCTTCTTCTTCTTCCTCTTCTTCTTCTTCCTCTTCTTCTTCTTCCTCTTCTTCTTCTTCCTTTTCTTCTTCTTCCTCTTCTTCTTCTTCTTCTTCTTCTTCTTCATCTTCTACTTCTTCTTCTTCTTCTTTCTCTTCCTCTTGTTCTTCTTTTTTTTCTTTTTCTTCTTCTTCTTCTTGTTCTTCTTCTTTCTCTTCCTCTTGTTCTTCTTCTTCTCCTCTTCTTCTTCTTCTTCCTCTTCTTCTTCTTCTTCTTCATCTTCTACTTCTTCTTCTTCCTCCTCTTCCTATTCTTCTTCTTATTATTATTCTCCTCTTCTTCTTGTTCTTGTTCTTCCTCTTGCTCTTCTTCTTCTTCTTCTTCTTCTTCTTTCTCTTCCTCTTGTTCTTGTTCTTTTTCTTTTTCTTAAAGA